TACCTAACGTCGAAATTCCTCCTCTACACGATGCTGAAAACCACAAGTCGCTAGCGCTTTTCGTTAAAAAGTTATTCAAAAAGCAACCGAGTGCCAACCATTTTGAAACGGAGAGTAGTATATTCAAAAATATTGGATTAGCATATAAAACTGTATGGCACTATGGTAATGCATTGCATTATTATATTCAAGCATTTGATGTATACACACAAACTTTGCCAATCGAACATTCAACACTCTTTCGACTATCGAATACTATTGTTGATCTGATAATATAAAATTAAATTTAGACAAGACGATTATATTTTGCCAAAGGCAACGAGCATCGTAAGAGTTTATTAGGAAATCACCCAACATCCGACAAAGTCCGTTCCTTTTTTCCATTTAAAACATAATTTATCTCGCGAACTGTGTAACATCATGTATTGATCTTGGTTACGGTGTTTGAAGGAGCAACCAAAATGCTGCAACTTTGCCAGAGATATGCCATAAAATCTCAAACATACCCTTACTTTTCCCGCTATAACGAGTGGACCTAAAGTTTTTACACAAAATGTTTGTTCATTTTCTTCCTATTTAAAGTGTCGAGAAAAAACGAAAATGATTGACTTGGAATCAGAAGTTAATGTCCTTTTAAAATATGTCTTCAAAATTTTTCTTTTTCAGAGAAAAGTGAGAAAGTTTGACCTAATTAAAACTTTATCAAGCATGAACCGTGATGCCATTGTCTGAACCAAAAAAGTGATACTCGTAATCAACGTTAAAAATTGCATCTGCTATGGGCGCCCAAACTCAAGGCACTCGATTGTTTTTCGAATAACTTCAAAACGATAAAAGATAAGGACGTTTGAGGCCAGCTAGCATGAGAGTGAGTTAAGACACAAAATTTCGAGGAAAAGTCGTAAATCACAACCATTCACTTCCATGCACATATATAAATACGCACACAGAATGCAAAGTGGATCCAGAGAGTCCTGAGTTCGATTTGCTATCGCAGCATACACTTCTTATTTCGACATTTTCCTTCTACTTTATTGATGTTTTCCATTCGACGTTTTCCGCCAACCCCCGTATGATTAAGTGTTCCTCACAATCATATATAACCATACTCACTGAGCTCTTACTTCAAATGCATATTTTCTCTGCTAAAAGCTGCATGATTTTTACATTGATTAAACAAGTGATTGTTTTAGAAACTCATTCATTTTATTTTATAATTTCTAAGCTCGCATGAGAGAGTTATGTGCTCTTGTTTAGAATTTCTTAACAATAGGACGCTGGAGCTTCTTTATTTGTGAATTTTCTATCGACTCGTAAAGAATTCTTCTGCTGGCACTAACTTCCTTTTATGTAAAAGAGTTCAATAGTTTTCCTAATAGTGATCTCGCTATCCGGATACAATTTTTTTCAGCGAATCTCTATAGTCAACCTGTCCTACAGATAAAAAGTTTTTATTATACCTCATCGCATACTTTTATACCCTATCCTTGCTTATTTCTACGATGCTGCATTGTTGGTGTTTCAGATTAAATTTGGCTAAAGGCGGAATCTCACATGTATTTCCTGAATTGCTAAAGAAAAATCCCACTTTTTATTTATTGATATATTAAAAATGTAAACAAATAATGGGTGTATATGAACACTTTGTTAAGTTTGAAACAAAACGTGCAAAGTCTTTCACAATTAGCAAACAAATTCACCATCAATCGAATCTCAAGTTAATAATCTAAAATTTAGTTGTTGTGATACGGTTGACGCATTTGACTGTATCAACATTCCTTATACTGAAGTCAAATATGCTACCCAGGATTTGTAACTTATTGCTATTTTTGTAATAATTAGCTTCTTGATTTTTGCGGATGTGGAGCAACTGAGTAAGTTTTCAATTGTTCATTAGCAAATTGCTCTTTAATCTCTCCATTTTCGAAATGTTCACCTACCAACCCATGCAAGAAACAATTATGCGATATTACCAAAATTTTTCGTTCTGATCTCTTGTGTAACAAATATCGAATTTTTTCGGCACGTTTTTGAATTGCTTCTTTTGTACATTGATCTTTTGTTTTTTCATTCCAATCATGTTTAAGATCACGTTGAAGTTCTCTGGCTAGATCAGGAAATTGTTCAACGAGAGTTTCAACTGAACTACCAATATCACATTCACACATTGAAACTTCTTGAAGATCAGGTTCGATAATTAACGGTATTTCTTTACCAGGAAATAAAATTTGATATGTTTGAAGTGTACGAACAAATGGTGAACAAACAACCAGCTCAAGATTGGGTGGTAAAATAATTTTTTTGGCATGTTCAATACCGATTTGCGTTAAACGAGGATCTTGAATATTATATTCATTATTAACATTGTGTTCGGCCTGACAATGACGTAGATAAAAAATTGTTTTCTCACTCATAGTCTACAAATCGGAATATTTTGACGGAATTAGTCAATTATCTGATAGATTGAGAAAAGATTCTGTTGCTGCAAATTACAGCTTCAATGTTGATCCAATCTAGCTGTGTAATTGAGAAAATAAATCCTTAAAAGAATGAGAATTTATATAGTGCCCTCTTTAGCCATGTCTACACTACACATTTTTCTCCTTTGACTCTGAGATAATTGAACGTTAAAGCTGAAGATGCCTACACTGTAAAGTTAATATGCCAATATGATTCCAGTTCCTACCGCTATCATGGTGAGTAGTAGTATAGAATGATGTGTAGATATGCAGATTATAGTTGCACTTAGTATATGGGGGCAAGAGGTTAGTTTCATATAGCGTTATGTCAAATCACAGTGTTCCTCGAAACAATTCGAAATCACGAACGTACTATCCTACTAGAGCAACGAGTTAATTGTTTATAACCCCTAGGTTGTTAAATTTTATTAATTTATTCTGTCTGATTGCTTGCCAACCGAACAGATGTAATGGTAGAATCTGCTTTGTTCTGTTTGGTGTGGATAAGTCATCACCAAATTTTATCACTAACTTCGGTGATAACTTATCGTTCGAGATAACACCAAAAATTGAAAATTTCTGTTAAAAATATTTTTTTGCCGTCGTTAGAAGTTAGCTGCCAATAATAGGTAACTTTAGCAGTTGTTGAAAGCTAGCTACCAGCAGAAAAAATATGCAAAAGACTAATATGGTTACCCTAACCAACAGAAGAGTATGTGGACGTCCATATTTTCTCTTTTTTACATTACATTTAAGGGAAAAAATAAACGTAACACACAACCGTTTCTTCCATATTCCCTTGACTTCAGTCTAGGGTCTTACAAAATGGTTGTGTGTGTGTGCAAAATACGGAAAAATGGCTGTCAGATATTCTATGGATAAGCCAATCACAAGAGAGAAAAGTAAAAAATTATTTTTTACACAAGAGGGAAAATGTTCAAGCGGTGATAGAAAAATAATTACTAATGCAGAAGGAACGAAAAACTAAGCAAATATTTCCATAGTTGGGATATAGATGTCGCCATAAACCAGTCAAAAATAAAAAGAAAAAAAAGTGATCTACGGATAATAAAACTTACAGAATATAGATAGTCTTTCACGGCGTTTTTGAATTCAGAAATATTTCTAGGCCTCTTGAGACTTTTGCTCTATTTATAGAATGTCCGTAAAGTCCTTAGAATTAGAAAATGTTCAATGTTTTCGTCATTCTTTACCCAAATGAGCTGATTTTTTTTCTTAGTACAGTAAGTGGATAGAAGTGGCTATTCATCACAAAACAGACCATTTATGAACATAAAACAAACAATTTTTTTAACGCTATAAGTAAACTTTACAACGCGGTTTTTTCTCGTAGTTATATGCTGATGCTATAGTATATTCTTTTATTTATTTAATCAGAAATGTAACTGATATGTAAGTCTAGTTTGAGACAAATTGTTCTCCATTATTCATACAGACATGAAGGCGCTGTTGAACAGAACGACATAGGTTTCCAGCGAGCGCCGAACGAAGGGAGACGTGAGCATTGTGTTCGACTTAAAAGTCACCAAAGGGCGTTCGCTTGCGCAGATCCAACTTAATAAAGTCAAAGGACCGAGCGAGTGGAGACGAGCGTTACCTTGTTACAATACGTGTCTCTTTCGATTCAATGCAGGAAAGAGAGAAAAAAAAGGACAAATTTAAAAAGAACGAAGGAATGTTTGTTCCTACTATGAAAAGAATTGTCGACAGGTTTGTTTAGTACAATATTTCAAAAACAAAAATTAGTACAGATGGGTTTGATCAGATATTGAAGTTCTTTCGAGAGTTCTCTGATCCGAGCAGACAAAGCGTTTTGTTCTCGAGTGGCTCATACATAAATTGAAACGCATAAAGCGTAAAAGTTATTTTTTTTATTAGAAACGGTTCTGTGAGCTTCACAATAGCTGACGTACCATTCTCGCATAACTGGGATTAAAAATCAACTTTTTGCTAACAAAATTCGGTTGAGTTTGAGCCAAGTTCGATAGACCCGATTCAGTCTCTGCAACGTTTTGCAGACAATCAGTACTTACGACCGAGAATTAACGGTGTGAAAATATATACGACGCCAATCATTGTAACAATTATTCGATGCTTCGATATTGGGTTTTATCCTGTAAGAAGTATGTTTTCAAACCTCGTTTGATTGATGTACAGATGTGTTGTTAGATATGATTGAAACTGTTTTGCATAAGTCAAACACACTTTAAATAGTATAAAATCTTCTGCTTCCCATGTTCTATAGTTCATGGCTATTGAGTTTACTACTATGGTTTAAATCCTGAGTTAACATGCAACTCAGAATCAAAATGGTCTCACAATAGCCAGAGCTGGACATGGCCAAAACACAGAAAATGCTCTAAATAATTTTTTTTCGTCGTCAACTATTTATAATCGATTTTTCAGCTAAGATTAAGTATAGAAAAACCTTTTCCTCCTTCAATACGTTTTTTTCTATGGAAAAATCAGATTTTTTTCCAAAAACTTGCGGAAAAGTCGAAAAAGTCGCCATTTTTTAGTTTTTGGTCAATATCTCATTCGAAAGAGCAGAAAGAACTGAACAATAACTCATATTCAGAAAAATTTTAGATTCAAAATAGTAGTAAGAATAATGGATTTTCGCAAAGTATTATTGTTCTTGTTATTTGAAAAGACATGATCGTTTTCATTCATTCTGGGTAAGTAACCAATCTATATTCAAAAGATAGCACACAGCGAGTATGATCGAATACAAGTAAAAAAATCTTGAAATTGGGCACAAGTGGTATTTTAGATCAAATAGCAATGATGAGATAAATGAATGTGAGAGAAGAGGATGAGGAGGATAGAATTTGAGGAGAATAGCGGACATCCGTTACACCCTTCTCTCAAGAGGGAAGTGCTCCTGCACGACTAAGTGATATTTGTGACATATCATCAAATGTAATAGGGAAAAGAATAGAAGCTATGCGAAGAACTGAACTCTGGCTAGATTAACGGTAAATAGAACGACAGAGAGACATATAAGTCCCTGAAAACATGCAATAAAACTCAGCCAGAAAATTAAAAAAAGAAAACCCAAACAAATGAACAGAAAAGCATATGACAGACCTGCATGCAACGAACGATAACTATAACACATAAAGGCGGATATGTAGAAAAGTGCGAAAAGTAAAAAACAAACAAAAACAAAAAGCAATTCAGTTACGCACCATGGCGCCTTTGCGTGATCCGTCGTAGGTGGTAGCCTTGACGATATAGTGGGAACCATGGAGTGATAGACATTAACGGGACTCGAATATCCATTAAACGCGGTACCCATGACTGTAATGCAGTAGAAGTTGAAATGATGGTAACTGTTGGTAGAGCGTCACGATCGGGTGTCGTCGGTTTGTCTGGTTGCAGTCGGTGTCGACAGTCTACCGGAGACGAAGCTAATGCTGTTAATAGGGCCGTAGTCGGTGCATGGTGTGGTCGGAGCATCAAGTAGTGGTAGTGCGTCGTCCGAGGGGAAAAGTTCGAGTTCTACCGACATTGTAAAAAAGTGTAGTTGTGATGAGGATTGTGTTTTAATAGCGTAGCTATATGTGTGTATGAGATACTGAATGTATACGAATGAATGTAAGTGGGATTTATGCTCTCTCATTTTGTTCTTTTTCTTTGTTTGTACTTACGCTTCGTGTTATCTTGTAGTGTATGACTAATGTCGTTGTCCCAGTTGAGTTGGTTGGGGTTGGTTGATTACATGAACCGATGTTATCAGTAATGATTTTTTTGGTATGTTTTTCGTGTTCTGCTTGATATAACGTGTTTATGTCGAAATATTATTCTTTCAAAGGAGCCTTAAAACTTTAATTAAAAAATCTTGGGAAGCACTTCAGAGTCCTTTTTGAGCCTTGATCTCCGGAAAACTCCTAAACCGTAAGACTCGGAGACAAAAAAATTTTTCATTCCCGTAACTCATTGTGCCTAACATTTATGGAAAGTTTCGTCAAGATCGGATGTACGGTGTGGAAGATAATTTTTGAGGGGGGGATTCCTTAAAGGCTCAATTTATGTATTCTCAATTAATAGTCGATACTCTAATGGCAATAAAACCGTTATCCACGGACAAAAATGAATTAGTTGATATTTGCAAGAAAGCTGACGAAAAAGCACTCCAACCACACTGAAACTAACAGACAAATTTATTCCCACGTATAAATCGGAGGATGTGTTTCAGCGGTATGCACGCAACTGTTTTATCCATCGTTTATTGAATAAAGCATTTCGTCTGAAAAATATTGATGTATTATTCATATTTCGTTTTTTTATTCGAGATTTATACGAAGAATTAAAAAAGTTGCATACTACTTCAGTTGATGAAGACGACAAAGTGGCTACTCTTCGAGTTTATCGTGATCAACAATTAAGAACTGATCAATTAGAACGTATAAAATCGTATCCAGGTGGTTTTATTTCATTAAACAGTTTTGTTTCCACTAGTCTTTTTCAAGCTCTTGCGCTGAATTTTGCCTTTTGTGGAGACCAAACAAAATCAATTCTGTTTGAAATAGAAGCCGATCAACGTCTGTCAACAAAACTATTTGCTGATATGTTATTCAAAAGCACTGTGAAGCATGAAGTAGAAGTTTTATTTACGCCTGGTTTCATTTTTCGTATTAGCCAAATTGATTATAATCCTATAATTAAACTCGTTTTATGCAGTAATGATCCTGATTATCAGTTAAAACAAGTGTAGGAATATATTGCAAAAACTGATTTTCATGAAGATGGTGCATTTATTCTACTGAGACTTGACATGCTTTTAAAAGATATGGATTACTCATGTATTCATACAGAGGTGATCGACCTAGTAATGAAATAGTGAACTGTTTTCTTAAACAACTCGACTACTACATTCAAACATATATCTACTCATTGTAAATTGTTATAAGTTAATTGTTGAAACATATCGCAGACGAAATGAAATTGAATTAGCAATTGATCATAGTTGAAATGCTCATCGTATGTCATTGAGTGGTGATGATCAGTTATTGATTGCTGCCTGTTGTGATGCTTTATGTGGTATTTATAAACAATTAAAAGACTATCATCAAGCTTTGGAAATCGGTGCCGCCGCCAAAAGAAACAGAAAGTTATCCGCCGTCGCGGGCTTTTTATCAGCTAACAACTCTACTTAGAAAAACCTCAGTCATCATTACAGCACCCAAAAATCAGCACATCAGTAAAAAGTTTAACGAATTTTTTGTTTGCTAATTTTGGAAGCTAATTGTGTTTAAAAAGCAAAGTCGTCGTCTCATGACTGCCATCGTTCATTTTTCCGTTTAAAAGAGAAAGTTTTTTAAACTGGTTTACAATTTTCCCGAAACGGTTTGACAAAAAAATTCTTTTTAACATACAAAAAGCATCTCTTATTCGTTTTGACTCATTTTCTTCTTAATAGTTAACGTTATACTGCCACAATGGAAAACATTGTAGTTATTTTCTGTTCTCCAAGAATAAACTTTACGCACGCTGCGTGACAAAACAAAATTTTTTCAATATAAACTTTGATTGATCATTTTAAATAAACTCCATTTTCTCATATAGTCAACTAGATTCAAGACTACTACTCTTCTATCTTTATTCGGACGAGTAATAACACTAGTGTGGTCCTGGTTTAAAAATTTTATTATTAAATTTATTATGTTCTATAAATTGTTTTAGTTCACATTTTGGACAATAATCAAAAACAGTTGGATAGTTCGGACAGAAAACACTTTAATCGTTACAGATCGATAAGGCAAGAGCTTCTCGTTTCCAAATATTCAAAATTCATGTGCACATTTTTTTCCCTTTCTTGCTACATGGTCCGTTTTCCAGAGGTCGCTGTAAACTAGCGAATTTTTGAAAATAGGCTATCTCGACGACCCTAATAGGTAGAACAAAAATTATTTTGCCATTAAATCGAACGTTAGTCACAGTTTATGTGACACCACTTAAACCGCGTAAAAACTCACTTTCGTTTTTCCACCTAATGTCCACATGATTGTCCAGTGTGTTACACACTGTTTTCTATAGTGCGCACAGTATACAATTCTAATCGTACTTTAGTCACTCTAAATTGATCAAACATTTATACCGGAAATACCAATTTATATTGCAATAGATGACATTTATTTTAACCCTTGAAGTATGGCACGATCACACAATACTTCATCACAAAAAGGATATCACCGTTGAGAAAAACTGAACGTTTTTCGATATCTCGATCATGACTTCTGAAGTTTCACACGACCGGAACAAAAAAGTTTAGTCCAACAGCACATCATCGTCGTAATAATTTAACTTTTTGACAAGTTAATACACAATAGAAAACAAAGTCGTTCACGAAATTTTTATTATAAAGTTAACTTGATAATAAAAATTTCGTGAACGACTTTGTCATAAGCCTTTTTGTAGTCGACACATATGATCAGCGATGGTACACTTCCACTTAGATTATTGCCTATGGTTTGACACATAGACAATACTCTAGTTGGTAATAGACATTTAGGGCAAAAGCCGGATTGTTCGTGCGGAAGGATCGAAAATTGCTATCTGACTATTCTTTAATTCTTTGAAGAAGAATTTTCTTGTATAGTTTTGAATGGGTAAACAGCAAGGATAGGCCTCGTTTGATCGCATTGGAGGATCCCTGATTTCAGTTTATTTAAAACGATAAATTTAGAGACTTTCCATGGTTCACTGAAATCCGACACTTTAAGCCAATCATTAAAACAACCCACAATACATTCAATATACAATATTTATAAAAGATTTAGCGTAAAACTTGATATGGAGTCAAATCCCGATGATTTTTTGCTTTTCAAGTCTTTTATATACTTATTTAGTTCTGCTACTGTACTGAATTGGCTCCGTGCAGTTTTCCATTTGGATTTTTACTTGCTCAAACTTCTCCCTGGAAGTCCCTGAGATCGGTAGGAGAAATTGCGCTTTATTATAATCAAACAAATTTTTTACAATTTCATTTTTATGTGTAATAATTTCGCTGTTTACCAGTAATTTTGAAAAGGGAAGAGTTTTTGGACGATAGATTCGAGATAAAAAGGACCAAAAAAATTGAGTTTGATTTCTGGAGAGCCTTGTCTATGGATGAGAGAAACGTATTCCATCTTGATGTTTTATAAAGAAACTGAGGTGTTAAAGTTCCCTGACATTATAGTATTTTTATGTAAAAATGGAATTAAATCATCAAGTTCTCTTTTTTGAACCTGAGGTCAATATATCCCAAGCATCAAAAGAAAATCTAGTATTGCCCGATTCATCTAGATTACTAGATTTTTACTCGATTGCAACTACTGTGTAACGACAGTGGAAATCTAGTGATTGGGGGATTACTAGATTTTTTCTAGTTGCAACTATCGATTTATCGCCCGATAATCAATCGATTTAACTATTACTAAATGCACCTGCAGACGCATCTAGTTAAAAGTCCCTTTTCCAACTAGTAATCTAGATGACAACTAGTCGTGTATCGCCCGATTACAGACGAAATGTATCTAGATTTTTCCCATAGATGATATTTGTTTG